GGCGATTTAAATAATCGCCGCTTCATTTAAATTTACATGGCTGCTGCGCTGAGCCGATCAGCTGTTTGTCGGCTCAGCGCGGTAGTCTGGACGCGCGGGTGTCGACATCAAAGGCATTTGTCGACCACCCAGGTATGCCTCATTGCCGCTTCATTTTCCTATGCCTGGTAGCCTAATCTACATGCCTCTGGCGACAGAGGCATGTAGTCCAGACGTACCCTTAGAGCTTTCCCAGGAGAGGCAAAGAATAAGGAGCTTGGTGGGACTGATGGGTAATTCGTGGGTCCTTGGTTACTGAAAAGGCGGGTAGCACCATATTTCTACTTCCATGACAACTGGTCTGTGACTACCGCAGGCCATTTCCTCCAAATGGAAAGTGTCCTCTCAGACTGAGCTTGTTCTACTCACACAAGTCTCAACCTATTCACTCTCCCAGGTGCTTTTGGGGCAGCCACGAAACTCTGGGCAATGTGCTGGGCAAACCCTCTTACTTTAGAATCGTAAGAATTCCCCAAGGAAAGTCTATTACTAGACCCACAAATTACCCATCAGTCCCACCAAGCTCCTTATTTTTTGCCTCTCCTGGTAAAGCTCTAAGAGACACTACCCAGTTACTACTTCTCTTTTTATTGCTGGCTAAGCCAGAGGTTTCTCTGAGATGTTATTTCCTGACCCTCGTGCAGTGGGGAGCAACATGCGGCTCATCGGGGTTCCATGTGTGGCCCACAAGACATTCTGTTTACCATTGTCCATGCCCAGGGTTGTCAGATTCTGTTGCTTTCTGTCCACGTCAACAAGGGCACATGGCGTGAGGTGCATGCTGATTGCACACAACACCGACTGAGAGAGCCTGTCTACTCTAGTATATCATCAGCTGTGCAGGAACACATAATACTTTTCCCTTTGCTAACAAAAATGAACTAAAATCCACCCAGTTCCTATATAGCTGGCAAGTATTCTCCAGTTACAGACAGGGAAATGGGAATAAGAACTGAAGGGCTGTGTCTAGACTGGCAAGTTTTTCCTCAAAAGCACTGCTTTTGAGGAAAACCTTGCCAGCTGTCTACACTGGCCGCTTGAATTTCCACAAGAACACTGACTTCCTACTATCTGAAATCAGTGCTTCTTGCGGAAATACTATGCTGCTCCCGTTTGGGCAAAAGTCCTTTTGCGCAAAGTTTTTGCACAAAAGGGCCAGTGTAGACAGCTGAGATTTGTTTTGCACAAAAAAGCCCCAATCGCGAAAATGGCAATCGGGGCTTTTTTGCAGAAAAGCACGTCTAGCTTGGCATGGACGCTTTTCCACAAAAAGTGCTGTCCGTGCCAATCTAGACGCTCTTTTCCGCAAATGCTTTTAACGGAAAACTTTTCCGTTAAAAGCATTTGTGGAAAATCATGCCAGTCTAGACGTAGCCAAGATGTTTCCTCAAGGGCACAGAAAGAGCCAATGTTAAAAGTAGGATTTAGACAGAAGACAGCCCTGGGTCCCAACTCTGTGCTCACACCATTCCTCGCCCAGCTCACAAAACAACACCTTTCATTGGAAATACCTGAGGCTCCACCACGTCCCCAGCTGAGAAATCCTTGCCGTGACACAGTGCAAAGGGAAATCCTCAGCTGGGAGACTGCAGGTTCTTTGCACAATGAGCACGTAGGAACGCCAGTCATGAACCAGCACTTCACTGTGGTAGGCACTGTCCAAATGCAGAACCAGAGACAGTCCCTGCTCTAGTTTCAACTGCACTGTGGCTGGATGTATGGCCTCCACGCCGGAGGGATCCAGTGTTACTAAAAACATTGCACTGCACATGCCAGGTCGTGCTCTTTTGGAACATTTCATTCATGATTATACACAAGTGGGGGAGGAGATTTATGCAGCAAGCTGAGTTGCTGGAGCTCAGCCCTAGTGTCGGGAACTTTCGCGGCACCAACCCTGCACAAAGCTGCAGCAGCAGGCATGTGACAGCTGTGAAACAAAAAGGAAACACACGGTAAAGAGACAGCTCTGACGGGAACTGACTCACCGGCACATGCAGGGACGGACTAGAACGAACATGGGAAAACTTGCAAACCAGGGAGACAAAGATGGATCTGAGAGAGTTACCAATAACGGGAAACTAGCCAAGATGGTCAGGGATACAACCCCTTGCTCTCGATGTTCCTAATCTTCTGCCTGCCAAATGCATTGCCTTCTTCTGTTCATTACATCTGCAGCATTTGGCACCAGCTGAAAAGGCATAGCACTGGGCTAAATGGGCCACTGGTCTGACCAAGCATGGCTACTCTTAATATCAATTCCTTGGAAACTGACCAATCCACATGTGTTTTACACCTAATGAAAGGCCAGGTTCCGGGAATCTGTGAGGGACCCTTGAGCATGCTCCAGCTAAAAGGAAGGAGCAGGCTCTTGCATCTGGGAGGCACAGCTGGGATTCTAGTGAAGCTGGTCCTAACCCACAACTTCCCTGCCCTCCACCCCTGCCCCATTTCCCCTGGCTGACTGTTCCAACTACACTTGCCAGATGGGGAACAGCATGGGAGCACCCACTCTGTGCAGAGGGGTGAGCCAGCATTAGACTAGCCAGATGTGTGGGTGCAACCATTCACTTCAGGGTGGATGGACTTCTTCCATGGCTTGTTATGGGAAGAACATCGTGCTGGGAGGAGAGGAAGGTGAAGCTCCTACTAGAACAGGGGTGGGCAGTAATTTTTGCAGGGAGATCACTTTTGGTATGTGGTCATGGGCCGGCTCCACCCCTAGGAGGGGCGGGGCTTGGGAACTAACCTCCCACCCAAGACTTGTCTGGGATCAGCAGCTTTGAATTAAAAACATAGCAAAGGGATCACGGCTCTTTTGCTACCACACTAACTGGCAGCTACCTAGGGTTGCTGCTGCTATTTAAAGGGCTCATGGCTCCAGCCCTTGCCAGGATAGCACCGTAACTCATGGGAATCATGAGCCATCTAAATAAGATCTGGCTGCCTGAGCCACCTCCTGGAAATTCAGGCCGCATCTTACCCAGCCCTGTGCTAGGAGCGTCTGTGAGTACTTGGCTCCCATGCATCAGCTCAGAATGCTAAAGCTGAGCAGAATCATAACCCTTCTAAAGGGCTTCAAAGGGTTACAATAAGCAAGGAAAAAAATCTTTAAAAAAAAACCACAAACCAAACCCAAAGGAATGTTTTATTAACAGAGAAAGAAACCAGCATGAAACAGAAGAAAATGGAAACATGTGATGTGAAATAAATCATGTATAACAGAAAGCAAAAAAAAAAAAAAAAAGTCACTAAAACCACTGAGTTTTGTAGATGTTTATTCTTCCATTACAGCTGGAGTTTCTCTTTATTCTAGAACACCATACGGCTCTACAGGCAGCCAGTCCCCTTTGCTGGACAGGCTGGACTCTTGGCAGGTCCGACCAGAATGAGGTGTTTGAACAGGCCAATTGCTCAGCCTGGTAGACACGTTAAAGATCGTATGTTAACACACACAGCCCCGAGCGATGAAACATGTACAACAGCATCATCTTTGGCTAAAGGGAAGTTTTACCTTTGGTCTCTCGAGTCGCTGCTCTCCTTTGAGGAGGATGCCGACAAAGAATTCCTCCTCTTCTCCTCACCTTTGTCCTCGGAAGCATCTGCACCCAGTGAGAGGAGGGAAAAACAAACACTTAGCCGCTACAGAGGGTTGAGGTTTTGGTCTTCACACCACAATCCTGACCACACAGAATGGTTAAGAGCCTAGATATTTGGCCTGAAGCAAGTTACTAGAGCCAGAAGAGCAGCATGGAGGAATAGGTCTGTATAGTTCAAAGTACTTTGCAATGTACCTGAATGACCCCCATGGCAGTCTTTCTACTTGCCTATGAGTGCAAGAAGCCAGGCAACTAGCAAACATACCACAAACCTTTCCCTAGTGAGCCAGTATGAAAGGGCCCGTCCTTCATTCCCTGAGGAGAATAGGTTCTTCATGAGGGAAGACCCATCCCAGCCAAAGTTTCTTTTCTAGTGAGGCCCCCGGCTGGGTGTACAGACTGAGTACAATTTTCAAAATGGGAGCAAACCAGGGATATAAAAGGGTAACTGATAAGCATCACCGTTAATGAGTGAGGCTTACTGGTTCTGGTTAATTGGTGAGGGCTGTTCCGGACCTGCAGGGCCCACCACGGGCAGGGGGCTGCTCTGGATGGGCCAGAGTAACGTCTCCCCTTTTAATCGGTTAAACATCATATTTAACGGATTAACCAATTAAACAGGCTTTTACATCCTTAGATAAAACCCAATCAAATTTTCAATAGTGCCTATGAAGGCCAGCCCCTCTCTCGAGGTAGATATTTGGTCAGCCAGGGATACAATTTATTCTTTTAAGAAGTGTATTTTTTTTCCAGTTAGTTCAGTGCTCTTGAAAGGTGACGACTTCTCAGTCACGGAGACGGAAGTTTTGCTTAAGCACAGAACAGATCCAGGCTTAGACTAGGCAGAGAAGATTTCCCCTCATGGCTCCACCATTATGTACCAACCCTGATGTGAAAGGACCAGCCCTGGCAGCAGGCGGAAGGAAAAGATAGCTCAGTCTTCACCACCCGTTTAGTCCTTAGCTTCTTTGCTAAATAATTTGTAGGAGTTCTCTTTGAGATGGAGACTGGAACTAGCAATTTGTTCCACATACACCTTGAACAGCCCATAGATTATAGAAAATATCTGTTTCAACCGGCTCCGACAGACTTGTTAGCTTTGATGAAAGGACACTACCCTGAGCTTTACCACACAGCTGCTGCCATCTGGCTCAGAAGCATGCTTTATGCTAAAGACCCAAAAAGCCACTCAGTACACCTCCTGCCTTCTGATTTAAAAAGATCTTAAGATATCATGCTCTGTAGTCAGAAAAAAAATATTCAGTGGTTCCATAAGCCATATGGGGTCTTTACTGGGACTTAAGTGGAATATATCCATTTATTCTTGGAAATCCCTCAGGAAAGGTTATTTATAAAGCACTGAATCTTTTTTTTGTTGTTGTCCTGGACATCCAACACTCTGGTCATCCGAAGAAGTGGGCTGTGCTCACAAAAGCTCATGATACCATCTACATGTTTTGTGAGTCTTTAAAGTGCTACCAGACTATTTGTTGTTTTTTAAGTTTACCCTCTGAAGCTTTATTTCCAGGGCAGTCTGGAGGAACAAACACAGGAGGAGAGAAACTCCTGAGCTCCTATCCCAGCATGCTTGGGAACTGACCGGTGCCGAACCAGAGAATTTTCCAAACCATGGATGGTCAGTATCATCTAGCAGCATTACCAACACATCCACTGATTATTGGGCTCTTAGGCTACGTCTACACTGCAATGCTATTTCAGGATACTGAAGTATCCCAAAATAGCTAACCCGTGTCTTCACAGCAAGCCTGTTATTTCGAAATATAATAGGCTCGCTATTGCAACGTCTCTGTAAACCTAATTCCACGAGGAGTAAGGGACATTTTAGAATAACACCTTATTTTGAAATTTGGTGCTATCTATGAAATAAGCTATTTCAAAATAAGATACACAATTTGCGTAGCTCAAATTGCATATCTTATTTCAAGCCATAGTGCAGTGTAGACACACCCTTAGAAGACATTTAAGGGTAAATTAGAGCTAAACAACCACACAGAAACAGAGCCAGAACTGGTGGCTGTAAACAAACTTTATGGCACCATGGGAAACATGGCCACACCCATGATAAATGGACATCCGGCCAACTAAAATCATGCTGGACCATGGATGTTGCCAGATCAGAGTGTGCTAGACTCGAAAAGTTCAACCTGTAGTGCAGCATCATAAGAAACCTGCTAGAAATTGTTTCCAGTTGTGATGGGTTAGCGAGTGACGTCCTATTTCACATCTTATTGCTTGACTGTACTTTCCAGAATGAGATACTGTAATGCTTAATGAGCAAATATTCATAAATCTCTCTGAAGACAATACTTTACTCCAGGGTAGCGCTTTTGTTGCTCAAAAGCATTAACCCATTCACCCCCTTTTCAAAGTAGCTAATTAGTATAGGTCAGTCAACTTGCGTAATATTACTCTGGCTCAGCACCGGTCAGATCCCAAGGGTGCCAGACTTGAGGTTCAACCTATATTTGGCTTTTTTCAGTCATGTCAGTGTACTGATATTTTTAATTTAAACTGCAGCACGTCACCCTGAACAGCTCAGTCAGGAGATGGAGAACTTAATAAATAAGATTACTGTATTATTATCATTGTCATGCTAACTATTGTTATTTAAATTTTGCAAGCACTGTAACTAAATGCAGTTCTGGTGCCTTAATTCCACTTTTTTTGCAGGGACTTTTTTCTTTTAAAACAGGACTCAATGTTATTGAATGGAATTCACTGTGTAGTACTTGAACCCCTCTAGATCCGTGGTGTCCAACCAGCTCTGAAGCAGTAGCCACTACAGCCATTTAGCCACAATCAACTGGCCAAATAGACACATGTGGCTAGTGGCTAGCATTAGACACCGTGGCTCTAGAGAACTTCCTATCTCTACTGATGCAGACAGACCCTTGCAGGAGTAACACAGCCTACAGGCTATCAAGGCAGCTAGAGTTGGCTGTTTGGTAAGCTGAACCCAAACCTGCTTCTTTGCTTACCTAGAAGCTTCTTCCAGGACTTGATAAGTGATTTGGCAAGTGAGATCACTTCATCGTCAGTGCTCTGCTTCCTCAGCGCGTTCACCGACATCCCAATCCGGGTGGACTGCAAACCAACATTCAAGAAGTGAACCCCACTCAAAAACTGATTTGATAGCCAATGGCACTAAAATTAGAGAAAAACAAGTCTCTGCCACAAGACACAGCAGCATGGACCCAGGTGTACAAATCCACGGAGATAGAGCCAACTGCTTAATGCTACTACACAAGAGCAGCTACCAACAAGCTGGCTTCTTCGGTGAGTCCCGAATATCTGGCTTACCTAGCATATGTTCTCCCTTGGAGAACTTCATCTCCCATGACACCTTTTCCCCTTCCTAAGCCCCTACAAGCTAATTATACATATATCTACAACTCAAAACTGAACAGGATTTGAATGAAAATCCCCCAGAGTCCTAGAAATTTTTAAAAAAACAGGGCCAAAATTATAAACAGATGTATCGCTGTAACACACAATGCTTCAAGCTGTTCAGGGGTGGGGAAACTTTTTTGGGTCGGGGGCCGCTGATCCACAGAAAAATCAGTCAAGGGCTGCACACAAGTGAGAAGAAAAAAAATCTAACACCCCCCCCCAAACACACACACACTGATGTGGCCCAACTGAGAAGGGGAAAGACACTTCCCACATTCCCCTTGCACACCAGAGACTATGGGGGGCCCAGCCTAGCAGATTTTGTGCGCTCCAGTCCCCTGTGGCGGAGCGATGCAGGGACTGGAGTGCCAGTGTGGGTTCTCCAATGCTGGGAGAGCCCCTGAGCCTCGGGGGCCGGATCGAGGCAAGCGGGGGGCTGCACCCAGCCCCCGGGCCTTAGGTTGCCCATCCACCACAACTACTCTTCCAACTGGATTTTTTTTTTAAACGGATGTTCAACACCTTAATTGTAACAGGAGTGGTTTTACATTTCAGCACATCACGAAAGCCCTCGACTTTTATTAACTATTGAACCTACTTCTAAAAAGCAGAAAGGTGTTGCCCCTTTGAGAGTTTTCCTTCGAATCTCATCCCGCTGGAACCTGACCCTCCCAACTTGTATGGACTCCATCAACTTCAGCAGTTTCGAGGGTCTTTGGAGGCCCTTTGGTTATACCCCTTTTGTTGCAACTCCAGCTTCCCCTGAGCGTCAATCCCTGTCTCCCCACTTCCAGCATACCTTGATCCTCTCTTTTGTTGCTAGTTTTACGGAAGCTTTTTACAAAATACGGTTGCTGCTGGCCTCACAGTTGCTGCTTCCCTACCCTTCTTTATTCAGATCCCTCTATTTGTAAAGCGCAGGCTTTTCACTTAGCATTTATACATGGAATTTTGATTTTTTTTCTCACTGATGCACAGTACCCCACGCACCTCTGTATTTACAGAGCCTCACCAACAATGTTGTATAGCTTTGTTTGGTTTGCTTAATTTTTTTCTGGGGGGTGGGTGGAGGACAAATGGCAGGGAGGACTGTATGAATCTCACTTTAAAAATCAGCATTTATTCCATCCACATCTGGATTTTAGTTTTCCTTGCCTGGGCTGCATGATTTACCTGCAACAAGTCCAGAGTTATAGGCATACTCTTCAGTTCCTTCAGCAAATCCATTGCACCATCCTGTGAAAGAAGAGGGGAAACATCTGCTGGTTACTTAAAAAAAAAAAAAAAAAAAAAAAACATTATGGGCCACTTCTACCGTATCATCTAAGAAAAAACAGCTACCAAAACTCAACCTACATGGGTCAATAAACCCCTAATAATTCCTAGAACACAAGGGAGCCTACTGATCAGCCTTGGAATCGATACTTTAGACTACACTAGAATCAATCCTCATTATATTCCTGAAATTACAGAATATAATGAGGCTTTAGCTGAGGTCTGGGAACCAAACAAAACAGAGAAGCATCATCATGTAAGCGATCTGTCCTGGCACACAGCACATTTCTATTGTGCCTACTACTTATGCAGTTTACTATTATCCTTATCCAGAGAGTTTAATTATAACTCCTAAGCAATGCACCTCAGGCAAGAACCTCCCTCTAAAAAATTACCCTCCCGTGACATTTTTCATTTAGAAATAATCCTGTTAGCAAATCACCATTTTAGGGAGCAGGCTGAGGACAGATATTGCATCAGATGCTCTATGCACATTTCACCACCACCCCTGGGGGTAGGAGTTATTTTGCCTAGAGTAGTACGGCTGCTGGTGTCATGTTGTAGGCTTTGCGGCTGGAGGGAAAACTTGCTTTGCAAAGTACTCAAGGTGCCCACACACCACCCTCCAGAAAAGTTTTAACCACTGTCTCAAAACTGAGAAGCAAGGAAATTAGGGAGCAGGTCACCTGGAACGTGGTACGTACAATCTTCATCAGCATCCTCCTATCCAGAAAACTCAGTGACCACATGACTCTAGCTATATGGTGTAGAATTTACAATATCCGGTACAACTGCAAACTGTACGGACAGCTGTGAGCAAAGCCTCGCTTCCACAGTTCTCCGTGAGCACTTCAACCTAGAATCTGCCACCTCCAGTCAGACGGCAGTCTCCTAATGGAAAAGGCCTTCTAGCGCTCACATCTAACAGCTCATTTAAAATACTAACCACTCCAGGAAGCCCAAAGCGACACAGATTCTAATTGCAGTTCAGGCTGCTTCACGCCACTGACAGACATTTCAGCTCCCGATCCCTCCCCCTCCATGCAGAGAAGCTGTTTCCGAGTCCTTTCAGGAAGAAATCCAGCTGCCAGCACCATCATGCAGGCTAGAGGCTGAGAGAGCTACGTCCAAGGGGAGTTGAAGATTTCAACAAGCGCATACACAGGCAATTCACTCCATCAGGCGCTTTTACGGCAACTGACCCAGGCTGAACAATTTGCCGGATTTCTTTCTGAAATTCCGAGATTGCGAATGAAATAAAAATCCAGCCTCCACGGTGCACAGAATGGCCCAATTCCTGTTCCCCTCAAAGGAAGTTTTGCCACTTATTTCAGTGACAGCAGGATTGGGACCACTGCGTGTTAACATTAACTTCCTCATTTGACAAGGTGGGGCACGAGTATACACAAGGGGTATGTCTAAACTACACCCTTCTTTCGAAAGAGAGATGTAGTCTAGACATAGCCAAGGAGGATGCAGTGGCAAAGGACTATGCCTGCAGTAGCTAAAGGTTTGGATGCTGGTTGATGTGCTGTAAATTGCATATTGGTTAGTAGTGACAAATCACAAGCTATAGTGACCCACCTGTGAAACAGACCAGCCAGACACTCCACTATCTTACTCTGCAATGCCAACCAGATCATATCACTCAAAAAACTGCTTCTGCCTGCTGGTCACTGACACTTGGAAGACAATTCAACATTCAAATCATTTTCTAAAGAACACCCCACCTCGTTAGAGCGGAGGACCTCTTTTTAACCATGTGATTTCAGGGGAAAGCAGATTAATTTTTTTTCAGGGTTACTGCACAGAAGGGAATTAGGGAGGATGAAGAGTTCTGGGGAGAGAAAGCATATTGGGGGGCAGTCTATGGATCAGCAGTGTCAGAGAAAAATTTGAGAAATATCTGTTGTATAAAGGGAAGGTTAAGAGGAGACACAGATCTGCACTTGGGGAAGGAAGCTGAGGACTGACAAGGGAAAACAAAGGCAATAACAGAAGTTGGGGAGAACTGGTGGGTGAAGAGGAAGGAAGAAAGGATCAGTCCCCAGGAGGGAGATGCAGGAGGAACTGCAGGGGAGAAAGGAACCGAAGGAATTCCCTCACTATGGCTGTGAAAATTGACGAGGCGTTTTCCTATCAAAGCTTTCTAGGCTGGGAGGCAAATGGTCGCCACATTTAGGTAGGAGAGAGCAGAACATGTCCCCTCTTCTCTGGCCTTTGGAGAGGAAAAGCCCCTCTTCCCTCCTCAGCATCCTACACCTGCTCTTCACACCTCTGGCTACTGCGAGGTGATGGGAGCTTCCCTTCTGAGGCACGGCAGTGATGACCAAGCGACAGGACACAGTGGAGACCTCAGAGGGCTGAGAAGGCTGCAGGGTGCGGAAAGGAAGTGATGGTGGTTGTGAGTATGCAGGTGGTAGTGGGGAAGTCGTAATGGGAAGACAGGAGGAAGCAGATGGGAGGATTATGGAACAGCAAGAGGGGTTCCCCCAGACTCATCGTGCTTTTCTGTGGAGGCCCAATGGTAAATTATAAGGCCACCAAAAGATGAAGGAGGGTTCCCTGTATTCATGTGCTTTTCAGCAGGGCACTGGTGAAGGGACTGTAAGGGCAGAAAAGCATTGATGAGGGCCCATCATTTCTACAAGGAAGCATCAAAGAGGGGGGTACCAGGGCTAGAGCAGAGGGCAAGAGGGGACACACCCCACAATGGTGTAGAGTAGACTACAATCCCAGAATTTGGTTTGGCTGCAAGATGTTTGATAGAGGATAAGAGGGCACTGGAGGGAGATCTATTTGAAAACAGGTGAAAGGGTGCTATAGGCATACACAGGGTGGAGACATCAGAGGGGTTATATGGGGTAATGCACGGGAGGGGGGCATCAGCAGGCTTTAGCGGCTGTGTTGGCAAATATTGGGTATTCTGGCAGGGTGCTGGAAGGGGGCTAAATGGGCAGGTCAAAGTAAGGGGAAGCAAGAGAGTCTACAAGGGTGGCTTGGGGAGTGTGGTTATGGGGATATAACAGGGAACAGAGGAGGGGATGTGGGGAATGCTCCATGAAGGTGATAGGAAGAGGGGACCCAGGCTCAGAAGAGGACAGAGGGGAGCCCTGAGGGGCTGTGGGGAAAAGGGCATGGGGGGAAGAGGGTTGCACACACCCAGACAGAAGGGAGTGAGGCAAACCCAGGAGAGAAGGGGACAAGCAGAGACGCTGCGGGAGGAGGGTGAGAGGTGGGGACATCGTGCGGGGAGTCAGAGGGCGAAGAGCAGGCAGGATGCTGGGGGTTTCCGGATGGTTTCGACAGGAATACTGGACACACCTGACATCACGTCCCAATCTACCCCACATTCCCCTCCCACACCAGAGCCTCCAAGGGTCCAGCCTAGTAGATTTTGTTTGCTCCTGCCCCACAGTGGGGCAGCAGGGAGGGCTGGAGTGCCAGCACAGGATCCTCAATGCTGGGGTAGGGGCTGAGACTCACGGAGCCAGATCCAAGCAAGCCAGGAGCAGCACCCAGGCCTGAGGTTCCCCATCTCTGGTTTAAATCCAACATCAGTCTCAAAAGAGAGCTAAAGCAAACCTTAAATAGCGCATGTGCGTTCTGATGGGCCCCAGTGTAACGAGTCAGTTTTAATTACAAAAAGTCCAAGAGGACCACAAATAGGATCCAAGAATCCTTTCTTCCAGAAGCATTATTGCTGCTGTTGGGGTCACACTGTGTTTGTGCAAGTAAGAATATCGAACCGTTTTAGCATCAATATATAAAAATCTATTTCTTAAGGGTATAATAAACTGAACAAATCTAATCAACATCAAATGTCAGATAAATGAACTTGCCACTGGCAGAAAGGAGATTAAAAATAGAAATCCATGTTCAAATATTTGATAGCATCTCATTTTTTCCACTTTGTCATGTGTGTCCTACCGAAAAGCTAGAGGTTGTTTCCCCTTGTACCACTCTGGAGGGGCACCCCAAGGCAGAGCAGGGGGCGGGGCGCTGGGAAAGAAGGGGGCGCTCTGGGGCACCCCAAGGCAGAGCAGGGGGCGGGGCGCTGGGAAAGAAGGGGGCGCTCTGGGGCACCCCAAGGCAGAGCAGGGGGCGGGGCGCTGGGAAAGAAGGGGGCGCTCTGGGGCACCCCAAGGCAGAGCAGGGGGCGGGGCGCTGGGAAAGAAGGGGGCGCTCTGGGGCACCCCAAGGCAGAGCAGGGGGCGGGGCGCTGGGAAAGAAGGGGGCGCTCTGGGGCACCCCAAGGCAGAGCAGGGGGCGGGGCGCTGGGAAAGAAGGGGGCGCTCTGGGGCACCCCAAGGCAGAGCAGGGGGCGGGGCGCTGGGAAAGAAGGGGGCGCTCTGGGGCACCCCAAGGCAGAGCAGGGGGCGGGGCGCTGGGAAAGAAGGGGGCGCTCTGGGGCACCCCAAGGCAGAGCAGGGGGCGGGGCGCTGGGAAAGAAGGGGGCGCTCTGGGGCACCCCAAGGCAGAGCAGGGGGCGGGGCGCTGGGAAAGAAGGGGGCGCTCTGGGGCACCCCAAGGCAGAGCAGGGGGCGGGGCGCTGGGAAAGAAGGGGGCGCTCTGGGGCACCCCAAGGCAGAGCAGGGGGCGGGGCGCTGGGAAAGAAGGGGGCGCTCTGGGGCACCCCAAGGCAGAGCAGGGGGCGGGGCGCTGGGAAAGAAGGGGGCGCTCTGGGGCACCCCAAGGCAGAGCAGGGGGCGGGGCGCTGGGAAAGAAGGGGGCGCTCTGGGGCACCCCAAGGCAGAGCAGGGGGCGGGGCGCTGGGAAAGAAGGGGGCGCTCTGGGGCACCCCAAGGCAGAGCAGGGGGCGGGGCGCTGGGAAAGAAGGGGGCGCTCTGGGGCACCCCAAGGCAGAGCAGGGGGCGGGGCGCTGGGAAAGAAGGGGGCGCTCTGGGGCACCCCAAGGCAGAGCAGGGGGCGGGGCGCTGGGAAAGAAGGGGGCGCTCTGG